TATATATATATATATATATATATATTTGATTCTGTTGTTGATGGTAATGCTCTATTTTTTTTTTTTTGCACTTCGCCGCTTGTGTCGCTCTTGTTGCATTGTCCCTGCTCTCCTGCTGCAGGTGTAAGGGAATCCGCGACTGCAAGCGCGTAATAAAAAAAGCGAGGAAGAAGTAAAGGTGTAGAACGCACGCCAATGGGGAAGCAGAAGCGCACGGCGTGCCACGCCATCAAGAGCGTCCTCATGAAGGAGAAGAACCTCGCGCAGAAGAAGAAGCGGGAGGCGGATAGCTACCACGAGACCCCCGAGCCTGTGCTGACGCAGGTGAAGGACGACGCCGCTGTGAAGTTCCAGCGCACGCAGCTCACCGTCGCCGCACCGATGCAGACAAACATGTTCCTCTCGTATAATAAGAGTCTGGGCCCACCGTTCCACATCTGGCTCGACACGAACTTCATCAACTTCTCGATGCAGAACAAGATTGAGATTGTGGAGGGTCTCATGGACTGCATGCTCGCCAAGGTCATCCCGTGCGTGTGCGACTGTGTCATGGCTGAGCTGGAGAAGCTCGGCAAAAAGTTCCGCATCGCACTGAAGGTGGCGCGCGACAAGCGCTTCCGTCGCCTGACGTGCGAGGGCAAGTACGCCGATGACTGCGTTGTGCGCACGGTGACGCGGCACCCAATCTACATCGTGGCGACGTGCGATCAGGAGCTGAAGCGGCGGCTGCGCAAGATCCCCGGCGTGCCGATCATGTACATCTCCAAGCACCGCTACACCATTGAGCGGCTACCGGAGGCCTACGGCGCCCCCGGCTGAGCGCCACACATGCACACACACGCCTATGTGTGTGCAATTGGTTGTGTGTGGGTGGGTAAGTGATATTGTGTGTGAAAGAGAGAGAAATTCATCGTCCCTCAGAGGAGATGCAATAAACATATTTGGTGGTATTTCGAGTAATGTGCACAGCTTTGTCAGTACAGCTGCACGCGCACCGTGACGTTATTGGAGAAATGGGCAGTGGGCTGGTGGCGCCGATTCTTCTTGCGCACGCGCACATATATATATATATATGTCTCTTCGCTTTCGTATTGTCATTCGTCAGGGTGAAGTTAAGGCGATGCAGATGAAGCCGGTGATGATGCGGCGCCCACAGTCTCTTGCCGCGTGTGTTGCTGCGCCGCACCGCTCTCTATCGACATTTACCGGCCGAACTGCCGCTGTACTCACCAGCAGCAGCGCCAGCACCTCATCGTCGTCGTTGCCTTCGCCCCTCTCCGTGATGTTGCAGCAGAGGCGACACCGCGGCTTCCATTTCTACCTCAACCTCGACGACCCCGCCGAGACGCGGCGGCGCGTGGAGGAGGACCTCGCGCGCATCGACCAAGAGCAGCAGCGCGGCACGATGGTGCACCTTCACGCACTGCTGAACCTCGCGCTGAGTTACTACCAGTCCGGCGATTACGTCACTGCCCGGGACTACGCTGTGTACACCCATGAGAAGGCGAGGCAGCGCAACCGGAATGCGACGCTGCTCTTCTTCACTGCTAAGACGTGCGCGCGTTGCTCGCGTGCTGTTGCGGACGAGTACGAGGCGTACTTGCGCGAGGTGGCGGAGCAAACGGCGGTGTCGTCGACGTTGGCGCCGCGCCCGTCCGTTGTGTTCGCGGCGGAGCGGGCGATTGCGAAGCTGCGCGAGGAGGCGGTGCGCTACGACGGCATCGCACGGCGGCTGTGCAACCGCCCCGACAAGGCCTTCATGCGTGCGGGCGAGGCGGCAGCAGCAACG